GAGCTGTAGGTGCTGAGGACCACCACTCAGAATTCAGAGTGGTGATTTAGGATCTCAGAAGGAGATTAAGCAGAACCAAATACAGCAGCAAGATCACAGTGGAACCTTGCTGAGAAAGGCCTGGTACATTTTGTACTTAGGAGGTATCTGAACAAGAGAGAATCAGAGACTGAGAAGAAAGGGAGTGGTGAGGAGTAAATACAGAGTATTTGTTAAGATGCTCGGATACAAAAGAAGGAAAGAAATGGGATGGTCGCCAAGGATCAAGTGAAGAATTTTTTCTTCCCATCAATATCACCAAAGGAGAAGCAACCAAGGGAGACTCAGGGACTGCACAAGGTATAAGTCAGACAAGTGAGAAAGCAAGAATATGTTAAGAGGGCAAAGAAATGGATCTGCCCAGGAACACGTTAGAGTCTCTGTGAGAGAAAGGGTTCCCCGGCAACTGGCAGAAAGGCAGACAGGCGACGGCCATACAAGGAACAGGGATACATATAGATGCGCGTCATTGCAGGATTTTTCTCAGCAGACTACAGAACCAGAATTGGTTCTATAGTCTTTGGATGAGAAAAAAGGATGGGCTTATAGGTATGAAGGTTTTGAAGTGCCTGAAAAACCCACAAGAAGCAAAGTAAGACTTTTGCTGGGTCCCTGGGTATGCAGAGAAGATATACACCAATGGATCCAGCAGCATTCTTTGTCCCAGAAGTAGCATTGTGAGATACTGCTGAGGTCTGGCATGGGCATGGCAGGCATGAAGGAAGGTAAAGGGTCAACTAACTTCTAGGCATCACTGAGTTAGCACTGCAGTAATGACCCTGGGGTCTGGGCTCAAGAGACTACCGAGTGGACCAGGAAGAGCTTAGGAATCAGATCCATCAGTAAGGCCAGGTTTCAGTCATGTGGATTTGGCAAACGTAACGTAAGGATTAGCAACATGAGGACTGATTGAAAAACGTGCCCTGTTTGAGATCTAATTGGTTTCTTTTTTTTTTTTTTAAATCTTTCATCTCTGTCTTTAACTTCTGAACATAAGGAATGGTTATCATAACTGTCTTAATGTCCTGTCTGCTAACTCTAAGATCTGTGTTAGTTCTGGATTGCTTTCAACAGATTGATTTATCTCCATTACAAGCTGTATTTTCTTGCTTCTTCACACGCCTGGTAGTTTTTGACTGGATGCCAAACGTTGTGGATTCTACCTGTTAAGTGATGGATAGTTTTGAATTCGCAGAAATATTCTTGCGTATTGTTTAGGGGCACAGTTAAGTTACATGGGAATAGTTGGATCCTTTCAGATCGTGCTTCTTAGGTTTGCTAGGTGGGCCAGACCTGTGCTCAGTCCGGCTGGTTATGTCCCACTGGGCAGCCAAGGCCCTTCTGTATATTCAACACAATGCTCTGTGAATCTGGAGTTTTCCAGTCTAGCTGGTAGGAACAGGCATCATCCGTGGCCCTATGTGAGCACCAGAAATAATTCTCTCTGATCCTTTTGGATGGCTCCTTCCCTGGCCTCAGGTAGCTTCCTTAAACTGATCAGCACCCAGCTGAATACTCAAGGAGACACCTTATACATCTCTGGGATTTCTTTCTCTGGGCAACTGTCTCCTTCCTGGTATTCTACCCTGTGTCCTCCAGCTGCCTTACTCTTCCTGGACTCAGATCCATCTCCCCAACTCAGGAAGCCCACTGGGCTCCACCTGAGAGAGGGGAGGAGAGAGCATCCAAGAAAATGAGGGAGCTGCCAAAGGAGCAAGGTGGCCACCAACAGTCCCCACCATTATACTTCATGGTCAAAATGGTGCTAGAAGCAGGAAGCAAGCACCCAGACCTGGACTCTGTTTGCCTTCATAGGCAGCAACCCCTCCCCCAGGCCCTGACAGGAAAAGAGCCTTTAAGATACCTTGGTGATACCTGTCAGGTTTCCCAGAAACAGTTAAGCCTGCCTTCAGCCCTTCCGATTGATAGTGTTCCACCTGCCAGCCCCACGGAGTTGAGAGGCTAACCCCAATCCACGCAAAAATTGTTATTCAATGTACATTCCTCCTTCACGTGCAACAAAACTGTGATTTTGCCTCCAACATATGCAGGACATATTTTAATTAATAATTAAGTACTAGATTTAAAATGGATTCTCACTTGAACAGAACACCACCTTTAACTGAAGACCGAATTGGGTGGTGTGTCAGCCCTAAACAAAGCAAACCGCAGGCAAACAAAGCCTGCTTATGGGCTCAAACAAGGGACACCATCTGGTAACACAAAGAAAACCAAGCCTGTGAGATTAAAACCGCCAAAACCAGCACACACTTTAACTTGTAATTTAATAAACTAAGGCAAATATTTGGGGAGAGACCAATGCTATAAAAATGTTGCACCAACTGCAATCTGTGGATAAACAACAAAGTAAACAACCAGGGTGGCTCCAAGTCGATGGGCAGCACTAAGGTCAGGCTGACCGCCAGACCTAACGATATCCTCACGCTGGGACGAAGGCGGGAGACTGGGGGCCAGTGCTGCCTGACAATTTACAATGCCCACCCTGGCATTTAACAGTCGATCCTCTAGGGATAAGAATTTAACAGTAGGGGCGCCTAGGTGGCTCAGTGGGTTAAAGCCTCTGCCTTCGGCTCAGGTCATGATCCCAGGGTCCTGGGATCGAGCCCCACATCGGGCTCTCTGCTCAGCAGGGAGCCTGCTTCCCTCCGACCTCTCTCTGCCTGCTTCTCTGCCTACTTGTGATCTCTGTCAAATAAATAAATAAAATCTTTTTTAAAAAAAGAAATTAACAGTAAATAGTTCATATAATCTGCTCTTAAAACACACCTTTCTTTCCGGGACCTAGAAATTTCTTGTAAATATTAACTCATTCATCTTAACAGAGCTGTTGGAAGAACGCACTCATTGCCATTGTTTATCTGTGCTGTAAGAACTAGCCGACCGTGGGGGCTTGTTTCCCGTGTGATCCCAAAGAGTAATTCCCTGGACCCACTGCTCCAATTGTCATGCTAGACAGGGGAATGGGCCACTAATCCTTATCTGTTGTCCTATCAACATTCCTAGGAAGCACCCATGACTAGGGCTGGTCTACACAAACACACACACACACCACAGTCCATGATACAGTCAGTCCTCACAAGGAGATGGCAGCCAACATCAGTCTAGGCAATATCTAGATCCTTGAGGATGTTCCTTTAGGGGAAAGTGTAGCATTGGCTCTAATGGGCAGATTCAGGAATAGGGGCAACATATACTCCCAAGGGCCCAGCATTCAGGAAACGGACACAGTAGTCATCCTTCCACACATTCTCTCCCACCCATAGCTTCACAGACGGTAATCCCTACCAAAAGCACTACAACACACACACCAGGATGTACTTTGCACCCTCCCAGAATATGACATACATATGAAGTTCAACTGCTGTGTTGGATTTGAAACAATGGCCGAGAAAAGGGGTTTAAGTCATCATAGTTTTCCCAGTATCTCTTAGATGATTCACCACAAAATACGTGGGGTAACTTGGGTATGGATTCCCTTCCAAATGGGCAGGCACATAATCTGCATTAGGTCCTAACACAGCCCTTTGCAGGTGTACACGTTGGTATGATTCATGTAACCTTCACAGTAATCCTAGGGGTAGATGCCACTAGCCCCATGCTTGACATATAAGGACACCATTGCTCAAAGCCACACAGCTAGGAAGGACAGGAAGCAGAGCTGGGTCCCTCTGATCTAAAGCTGATGCCCTTCCACCACCCACCCCACATCTCTAGCACAGTAAGAATCCCCAGTAGCAATTTCCAGGGGATTCTGTCCATAAGGTTCCGTTAAGGACAGGATTAACACTAACACCAGGAAATAAGTTTGGGGGCATTCATGAAGTTGGAGGCCTCACTACAATTGACATATTATCTAAAATGCTTGACTTATTTCCTGGATTAGAAAAACAAAAACAAAACAAAGATTGCTCTCCCTACCCTTCCTCCAAAACTCCCCAGAATAGTAAGACGGCCTGACCCCAAACTGGAAGCCGAAGTGCCCCCAGGCTGGGCTGGGATGCTGATGGTGCAAGAGAAGAATGTTGACGGCATTCAGTAAAGCACAAGTGTTTTTTGGTTGACTCCAGCAAAGAAGGGATCCTTCCCCTCAAAAGACAATGAAAAGCGCCACTGTAGCTACTACAGCACGAGCTGAACACACACACTGAGTGCTCAGATCCGGGCTGAGACCGGAGACATGGAGCTTAAGTCAGAGGCGATTCGGACGACAAGCGGTTCTGGGGAAGGTGGTTCTGGAGAGCCCTGCCCTGTGTGAAGAGGTCACGATGGGAAACTCCAGAAATACTGTAGGATGCCATGTACAAAACAAAACTGGGCTCTGGGCCATATGCATCCATGAGCAGTTCATGATCCCTGTTGGGAGAAAGAGGACACAGCCAGCAAGCAGTCAGGACTCTGCATATTAGAGAGGCGGGCCATAAAGACTGGACTTAGGGTGACCATTCGCAAAGGCAAGGACCAAGAATGTAGGAATTGGGGGCCTCCATGGGGACACGCAACACCTGAGGCAGAGGCATGAGACAAGACATGACCAGTCACAGGCCTGCTTGGGGAGGGTTGTGAAACTTTCCTCTCTGCTTCCCGGCTCCCACAGGGTCCTCCCTGAGGCGCTAGCGGGAAATACCAGAGTCCAACTGAATCATCATGTATTAATATATTTAACAAAATTGATGAGCATTCGTTCTCTCCCAGAGTTAAGCTTCAGTCTTTGTCAGTGAAGCCTTCCTAAAGTCCTGTGTGAGAAAGAATCCCTCCAGGGCAGATTTTTTATTTTATTTTATTTTTTATTTTTTTAGTTACGAAAATATCACCACAAGGCTGAGAACAGTTCCATGACCTTTAAAAGCAATCACTTCCATCAACTCTAGACAACCATTAATTTACTTCCTGTCTCCATTGCTTTGTCTATTACAGACAGTTCGTATTAATGGAATCATACAAAAACTATGGAAAGCTTCATGAATTTGCCTGTCATCCAGGTGCAGGGGCCATGCTAATCTTCTCTGTGTCATTCCTATTTTAACATATATGCTGCCGAAGCAACCCGCCCAGGTGGATTTTAAGTAAGATGGTGGTACCCAGATATGGAGTCCCTTCTACAGAATGGCATCCCAACAACTTACGTAAAACCTACTATACCCAAACTCATCATCTGAGTTTTCATGACCCAAATCCCCATAATGGTGATATTGCTATAGGTAACCTTAATGCCAAAGAATAAAAATAGTCATGAAGGAATAGACTGAGCATTTTTAAATTAGTCCCTTCTCTGACATTCTTTCCTGCTTAAAACCACCCTGCTCCCGCCCTCCATGTGAATGGTTTGCTGGTCTCGCTTTCTGAGTATTAGAGACATCCCATGCAACAATTCATGCAATAAAAACCAGTACCAGATAAAAGTGAGATCGTGCCGCTGATGCAGGTCATGAAATTGACGGACAAGCTACTCCAATCACAGCAAACCCTTGACCTACTAAATCCAGGTGTAAGTCCATCACCACTGAAGAAAAATCAACAGGGATGGAGCCATGCCCCGGCCTTTGGAAAAACTGAGGATGCCTTCAAATATTTCTGCAAATAACCCTCTTCACAACAGTGTTGAGAAAGTCATCATGAAGTCGAAATGTTATGTTATCAGGACTTCACACCAGTCAGGAAAAGTACGCAACTGAATTATTTGATCTGTTCTTGGTTCTAAGAATTAGCATAAAGGTGTCACTTCACCTAAACGCTGATAAATATAAGAAGAAAGGAACTGACTTGCATGATTTCTGTCATAATTTTTAAAGGCAGAGAACCAATCAAAACTTTTAAAATATATATTTTTAAACTGTTGGCTTCCATTGTAACTGGAATCACTCTAAATTGCCTTTTCCTGATCCCAGCTACTCTAAGAGAGGGAAATGCCTATAACTTATCTTCAGTCCAACGGCTGACAGGTAGCACAGGCAACATTCCCAGCCTGCTTTTACCACTTTCAAGCCTGGCTTGAGTCTCAGCATTAGTACTGAGTGTTTGCAGACATTAGCAAGGCCCTTAGACTCTCAGTCTCATTTTCTCCTCCTAAAACACAGGAACTGTAACCTGACCTAGCTTTTTAAAAAGCTCTTAAAAAAAAAAAATTTTTTTTTTTGGTGTTTTGTCAACTCTTAAAAGACTATACCAAAGTAATATACTCCCTTCTGTGTTTTTTTTTCTACTTTTTTTTTTTTTAATTTAGCAAACCTTCCAGTTGCTAAAACTTTCCATTAATCACATTAGATATAATTTGGGATGCAACAGGGGTGTTGAAACTTGGTCAACCTTTAGAACTAGCCAAGGCATTATTAGGAATCTGTTTCTCTTCCCCAGAGATTCTAATTCAGTCTGAGGCCTGAGAATCCTTAGTTTTCAAAATTCTCAAGTGATTTCACTGCTCTAGAATAGATCCTCTCTTGCCATCTCCTAGTTTTTAAAGACCCTATTTTCAATAATTGGTAAATCCCAACCCAAGGACTCAGATATTGGAAGTATACTAATTTACACTAAATAGGAAGTATCATCAAAATTCAATATGAACTAAGCTTCTAAAAGTTATATAGTAAGTCCCTACAATGTGCCCAGGTCACGCTCCAATCTATTTACCTCCCCAGATGTTTACCAGATGGATCACTAACATTTATTCAAACTTCACAACAAATGATAGTTCCCACCAAATTCAAGAACGGAAGACTCCAGCTAAGCCCAAGTTTTCCATGTTTCAAGTGGGTGAGGTGCATCAGAGTAATGTCTTAACAACCCACAGATAGAACTGAATTACAGCTAATTATACTGAGAGGTGCATGAACTCGTTCTAGATCTCCAAACAGTCGTTTTGAACTTTTAATGCTTTCTTAAGCTATGTAATGGATCCTAATTTAGCTTAGAACAATCACTATGGAGTTCACAGAACTTGGGAAAGTCTTCATGATGAACTTAAAATAGTTTAGGCTTTAGCAACTTACATTAAATCATTGCTGTTGTCTTTTTTTAAGATTGTATTTGAAAGAGAGTGTGAGCGGGCAAGAGGGAGCTGGTAGGGAGGGGTGGCAGTGGCAGGAAGGGGGCAGGCAGAGGAAGAAGCAAACTCCCAGCTGAGCAGGGAACCTGAGGTGGGGCTCAATCCCAGGACCCTAGGATAATTACCTGAGCCGAAGGCAGATGCTTAACAACTGAGCCACCCAGGCGTCCCACACTAAATCATTGTAAATGGATGTAATATGGTGCTCTTGAAGACCCTCTCCAAAGGAGACAAGATTATGCTCTATCAGCCTGCATCAAATATAGGTGAACTTCACCTAAGCAACAAGGCATGTTCCTGAATAGGGAGGTGACATTAACAGGGAACTGACTTTGTGCCAGCAATGATGCAGGGCACCTCCCCAGGACCTCACAGCCCAGCTCCCGTCCTCCCCTGCAACTCTCACTCACCAACCATTCCCTGCCCCCTCACTTAGGGTCTTTGTAGTTCCTGTTCCCTCCTCCCCCAGACAGCCCCAGGGTCCACTCCCTCCCTCCCTTCAGCTTTCTGGCTCAAAGGTCATCTGATAGGAACAAAACAACACACCCAGCCCTCCTATTTGTCCTGACTCTGCCTTATTTCTTCATAGCACTTACCACTTGGGCTATTACATTAATTTATCTAATAGTTTGTTTCCTCCTGCACACTGAATTTTGAATTCTATGAGAATAAACCAGTGTCATGAATAAGCGTATATATGCATACTTCACATAATGTCACACATGAATACTCTGTGTGTACATATGAAGAGTCCTTTTGATCCACAGGACCCAAGTGGTCGTAATCTAGAAGTATCGCTCAACCCAGTCCATTCTGCAACCGAATGTAAATTCATAGAGGTGGAAACTGATTTTCTCCAAAACAATTTGAGAAATAAATCGCTACTTATGAAAATCTAAGGCAGTCTCTGACATATGCAAAGAACATGCCTGCAAACTCAGGCCGCGGAGCCCTCACACACACACTCATCCTCTCCACCTCCAGCAGGGAGTCCTTCAGCACTGACCTGAGACCCTAGAGAGATATCTCAAACACCAGAATGAAATCTTGATGCTCAAGACAAGTTTCAGGGGAGAAGGGAAGAAAAAGGTCTTCCTTCTCTCTCCCTGCCCACTGACATGGGGCAGTACTGGGACAGACCTCAAGAAAAAGGATTCCAGGATAACTGGCTGTTCATTTGAAACAGAAAGAGCACAGATCAGGGGCCACGAGAAATGAGATTGGAGCTCAATGAAAATGCACTCTGGAGCAATTAATTTTTCTATCAAAAAATTAACTTATTTCTATTTTACCTAAATCTCGGTTCCACTGAGAGAGTACCACATTAATGTAATTTCATCCAAAAAAAAAAAGAGAAGTTTGAGAAAATTAAGAAACTAGTCAGACTCTGTTTCCAAGAACCTTGATATCAAAGGAGCATGCTAGTTAATAAGCCAGTGCCCCATGAAGCAAATCTACTGATACTTCTGTCCATAGACCTCGGAGCTATTTTTTGAGGTTCAGCTTTTAGTGCTCACACCTCTGACCACTGGCTCTGAAGGGCTGTGACTGCCTTGTTCTGCTCCAATCAAGCAAAGGTGCAGCATAAAGCTACCCAGAACAGCCATCTCCAAAGTTAGAAACCACCATAGGCTTCTGGTTGTTCAGGTGTTACTTCCTGACCTTCCTATTTTTATGAGAAAGGGCCTGTGACAAAAACTGGCTGAAAAAGTTCACTGCAGAGTAAAAATAATTAGAAAAACGGGATTACGGTTTCAAAAAATAGCTGAATTATTCTGCTGTCCATAGGACCCGTCACCCAACATCAGTCCCCAATACAACATACAGAAGTATGTGTCAGTTCCTTCTTTCTGTAGTCACTAAATTAAAAGTGCTGGACTTCTGAAAAAAAAAAAAAAAGATAAAGGGAAAAATTAAACTATGTATGAATTCTAAAAATAATTTGGTCTCAGGACCCTTTTGTAGTCTTAATTAAAGATCCAGAGTTTCGGTTTATATGGATTTTATGGATATTTGCCTATTTGAAATTAAAACTGAGACATTTAAAAAGAGTCACTTAACCCATCACATGACAACATAAGTAACATCTTTATGAGAACTGATATTTCCCAAAACAAAAATAAATAAGAGTGATATCGTTTTACAATTTTGTAAGTCTAACATTTGACTTTAATGGCAAGCTGGATTCTTCTATCTGCTTCTATGTTCAGTGTGCTGCAGTGTTGTTTTAGTTGAAGTATATGAATAAAACCCAGCTTTACACAGAGTAGTTGAAAAAGAGACTGTTTTAAGAGCATTTTTTTAAAATATTTTATTTATTTATTTGACAGACAGAGATCACAAGTAGGCAGAGAGACAGACAGAGAGAGAGGAGGAAGCAGGTTCTCTGCTGAGCAGAGAGCCCGATGTGGGGCTCGATCCCAGGACCCTGGGATCATGACCTGAGCTGAAGGCAGAGGCTTTAATCCACTGAGCCACCCTGGCGCCCCTTAAGAGCATTTTTTAGAGAACTGTGAGTATTGTTTGATACCTCATCAAACTGGACAAGTGGTAGTTCTTTAAAACTTAGTTGCAGTGTGAAATCTAAAACCGTAATCAATAAGCTTTTCATACTGTTAGAGTAAATCCACTAGTCTATCTTATACTTTCCAATGGATCCTTGACACACACATATGGTTTTGTAACATCTTGTACTGGTCATTTTGAAAATATATGTTCACTGAGTTATGCAAATCTTCTTCCAAATGTTGACCTACTTTACTATACAATATTTAAAGATCACAATTGTTAATTAATATCAACAACAAACTCATGAGAAAAGTCTTTCCAAAATTCTAATTATGGCTTGGAGGATCCGATTTTATCATTGGTATCAAATATTCTGTTGTCTCCTTGAAATAAGAGGCTCACTTTGTCCATTTTTAAGAAAATGCCTGAGAAACTCCTTAAACTTCATTACCATAGTTTGTCATTCTTACAAGTAAAAATGTTGTTCCACAAAGAA